TCTCTTCTCCTTCTGGCACCCCCATGATGTGAATATTGGCATTATTAAAGTTGTCCTAAAGGATCCTTCTATTATCTTCATTTTTATCATTCTTTTTCTTTCTGCTCTTCTGATTGGGTGTTTTTTGCTTCCTTATATTCCAAATTGCTGGTTTTATTCTCTGCTTCATCTACTTTACTGTTGATTCCCTGTAAATTATTCTTTATTTCAGTCAGTGTATCCTTCATTTCTGACTGGTTAATTTTTATATTTTTAATGGTTTTCATGTTCTTTTTCATGTTTTTGAAGTTTTCACTAAGTTTATCTACTCACCCCCTAAGTTTATTGAGCATCCTTATAACTAGTGTTTTGAACTCTGTATTTAGTAAATTGCTTGTCTCTATTTTGTTTCATTGTTTTTCTAGAGTTTTGTTCTGTTCTTTTATTTGGGCCATATTTTTTTTTGTCTCTTCATTTTGGCAGCCTCCCTGTGTTTGTTTCTGTGTATTAGGTAGAGCTGCTATGTCTTTCAGGCTTGATAGACTGGCTTAATGTAGTAGATTACCTGTAATTCAGTGGTACAGGTTCCCATTTGCCTAAGCTGGGCACTCCAGGTACATATCCCCCTGGTGTGGGCTGTGTACACCCTCTTGTTGTAGTTGACCCTTGATTGATTTTGGCACATTAGTGGGAGGAATTTACTCCTAGGTCAATCAGTTGCAAGGACTGACTGTGACCACCATGAAGGACCAGCTATGTAGGACTTATTTTAGTACCTGCTGAAGCTACCCCTTAAGTGTGTCACTTGTGGATATGGTTGGGTAGTGTTTTGATGAGCTCTGAAGCTGAGAGCCAGGTATGCTGGCTCTCAGGCCTCCTGGGAGGTACAGGCCAAGATCATCTGCCTCCTTTGTTCTGCCCAGAGCCACCTGGCATAAACTATAAATTAATCTGCAGATGGCTGCTACTTGTTCTGGGATTGGAGGTGCTCCAGAGAGGCCAAGCTTTGAATAAGGCCTGTTGCTACTAGTGTTAGGCATGCAGCCACTTAGTGAGAGCTAGGTGGCATGCTTGTTTGAGTAATTTTAGGAAAGGCTGAAGCATGAGCCAAAATAGGCCAGCAGTTTTCCAAATGGAAAAGCCAGTGGAAATGCCTTGGGTGAATGCCTAAGTTGAGTGGAGCAGGATCTTAGGGAATCACCAGGGCAGGAAGAACAGTGATAACCAGGTTAAAAGAGACTCCTATATGGTGCTAGCCTGCCCACTCTGTTGGGGGAGGTCTTAGAAAAGGAACAGTGGCCTCTGCCTGAACTTTTCTCTGGGAGAAAGCTGCCCCTCCAGCTCTTGCCCTGCTGCCCGACAATCCAGTTCCTCCTCATATGCCTCTGGTTCCTTTCAAGCTACTGTCCCAGTGCTGGAGTTCAGAGACAGTGAATCCATAGGTCAGTGTGTAGGTTCTTTAAGAGGAATACCTAGGACCCAGAAGCACTCTGTCTCACTCAGCCACAATCCCCACAGGTTTTTATAGCCAGAAGTTATGGGAATGTCTCTTCTGGGGGGCCTGGTGTGGGGCTAAGACCCTACATGCCTTTTGAGGCACCTCTGCAGCCAAGATATTTCTCCCAATTTTTATCCACCACATGTGGTTGTAGGGCTAGCCCATGGTGCATCTCCACCCCTCCTACCAGTCTCAGTGTAGCTTCTTCTTTATAACCTTAGCTATAGGACTTCTGTTCAGCTAGATTTCAGGTGGTTCTATAGTTTAGTTGTAACTTGAGGAGGTTGTGGGAGGATGCAAGTACTGCATTTACCTATGCTGCTATCTTAACTAGATGCCTGGAATTAAATTTTATTTGGACTTTTTGCAACTATACTCACAAGTAAAATTAATCCATGGGGATTTTTACATGGGTTATATTTTTAATTGTGAAAAAATGTTATTGTCATGATTACAAAATATAAATAATTGAATTAGCATTTTTAAATTAATATTTGCATAATACTGTCTTTTAATTTTTAACTATGTAATTATGTTTCTATAAGTTTCTTATAAACAAAATAAAGTTGAGTCATGTTTTTGATCCATTTTGTCAATCTCTGTCCTTTAAATGTACATTTAAAAAGTCATGTCTTTCATTAGCTCAGAGATGTTTATTCTTCTCTTGGTACTTCCCTAAATATTGTCCTTCTTTCCTCTCCCTTGTTATATCATTCTAGAATTCCTATTAAGTTGATTTTATTTCCTATATTGTACTTCACTATTCTCATTATTTTTATTTTTTCATAATTTTTCTCAGTAATTCAGGTATAGTTTCTCAAATTTCTATTCTAACTTACTAATTAATTTTTTCTTATGTTTCTAACAGTATGTTCCTAAACATTTTAATTGAATAATCATGATCCCCCACCACATCAGGTGGTCATTCTGGACCTAAGACCGTCAGTTTTATGACTACTCATTCAGTATCAGATACAGCTTTCCCAAGAGTACATATTGAAAAGAATTCAATGTCTCTATAGGTTTTTCCAGGCTCTTTTTCTTTTTCTTTTCTTTTTCCAAGAAGGGGAACAACTATTCTTATGTCTAAAATTCATTAATCTAGACTGTTAAATCTCAATACTCCCTTGCCTTACTCTGTTTACTTATTCTGAAATACACAAAGCTGACTTGTCTTGTACTGACAGTGGGAGAGTTTCTAATTGAGATTTTCTGTTTGCTGCATCATTGATCCTTTTATTATTTTTTTAAGCTTGTATTTGGTTTTTCTGAAGTTGGGCTCAACCTTTAGATATGCTTAATTTAATTTTTAGTGCTTCAAAGAAATCTTAGATCAGTTCGATCATTATTAATTGGTAAGAATGATTCTATTTTTCTGTATGAATATTTTGGAGTTTTAAATATAATCTTGAAATTTAAATTGTTCACTGCATCCTGATTAATATGCAGCCTCTTTTCATTATTTATCTTCTCTACTGCTTGAAAATAGATTGTAAATGAAAACAGAACTGAAGGATGAGCGTACCACCTGGTCTTCTTAATCCCAGGCATTCAGTTTTGATTAGGAATAGGGACTCCATAGTCCCACCCTATTCCATCCATTCTCATAGTGATGTCATAGTCATCTTCCGATATGACATATATGAGAATGTCACTCCCCTGCCTCAAGCATTCATGTGGCTCTCTGTATTTATAAAATAAGGTCCCAATTCTTTTGCACAGAATAAAAGTCTACTGATATAACATATCCAAAACATTGACTGCATACTTATTTCTCTTCTACTTTGTGTCAATTCTGATTTTTACTGTTTCTAATATTTTATTTCTGTTATCAAACTTTTAATTTCCTTGTAATAGTTCCTAACCCTAATTCCTTTTTTATTTATTCCAGCCTCTCAGCTGATATCATTTTCTAACTTTATCTTATAATTTCTTCATTAGAATTCAATATTATACATTACCAAGATGACAAAAAAAGATGAGCCTCTTGATAGTTGCATGTTAGAAACAAATAATACAAAATGGAGATCCAGTTGATTCTCAGGAACTTTCTGAACATTTTTTCCAACTTCATTGAGATATCACTGATATATATAAACATGATAATATATACTATATGTTACATATATTTAATCATATATAAATATATAATCTACAAATAAATATATACATTCAAGGTGTACAGCATAATAGTTTGACTTACATATATTGTGAAATGATCACCACAGTAGGATTACTTAACATCTATTATCTCATATAGATGACAATAAAAAGAAAAAAATTGTCCTTTTGATGAGAACTCTTAGTATCTATGCTCTTAACAATTTTCTTATATATCATATAGAAGTGTAAACTATAGTCATCATGTTGTATGTTACATTCCTAGTATTTATTTATCCTATAACTTGAAGTTTATACATTTTGACCACCTTCTTCCAATTCCCCTGTCCCTTAGTCCCCACCTTTTGTAACCACAAATCTGATATTTTTTTCTTTGAATTTTTAGTTTTGTTTAGATTTCACATATAAGTGAGATTATACAGTATTTGTCTTTCTCTGACTTATTTCCCTTAGCATAATGTTTCAAATGGCAGGATTTCCTTGCTTTTATGGCTGAATATTATTTCATTATCTACATGACAACTTCTTTATTCATTTATCTGTCGATGAATACTTAGGTTGTGTCCACCTCCTGAGCATCTCCATGTTAATGACATTGGTTCTCTTGGTTCTTTTTTTCTGTAGCTTCACTGTGACTTAACAGAAATCCCAATTCTAATTCTCTTAAGCATTAATGAGTTAGTCTTCAGATCAAAGCATATCAGTCTGTTGAACAACGACTCAGTAGAAATCAAAGGACTTTGGAATCCAACAGATGTGGTTTGAATTTCAGATCTTCTACTTTAATTGCTATTTCTAAACTTCTCTGAGTTCAGTTTCCTCACCTATTAAAAGAACATATAGGAATACAAGGTACATGCATATGTTAACTGTCTTCAATATATGCTAGCCCCTCCTCACCTCTCAAATTGTAACCAGGTGAGAAAGATTCATGAAGAGCAAAAAAATTATTTGATGCATTTTTCTGAATTATAATTATAAATATATTTATAAATGTTTGATAAGTTCACATGTATGCATTTAATGAAATCATGGATATGGGTTTTTATTTTCCAAAGTTTAGATGTTTTCAGGAATATCACTGCCTCCTAAAATAAGCCCTTCAGTGTCCCCTTCAGGGACTCATGCTTCTGATTTGGCATGATGTTTCTGTATATGTCAATGTGCAAATAGGGAAATACTCACCCCAAAAGCGAATCAAGGCCCATCTCAAAGTTTAAGCTTTAGCTATTTTTTCTTGTATCTTTATTCTTAGACAATGAAAGGCCCTTCCTCTTCTGAGAACCTGACCTTGTCTCTTCCCCTGATACTATGGAGGAATCTGAATGACAAATCTGGAACGTGACTTTCCTAATCAAGAATCTCTTTCCATAACACCAGCTGAGGGTTCATTCTTATCATTATGGTTGGAGGAAACTGGGCAGGAGTAACTGAGTTTATTCTCATGGGTTTCTCTTTCCCACCTATTGAAATACAGTTGTTACTCTTCCTGACATTTCTAACCATCTACCTGGCCACTCTGATAGGAAACAGCCTAATTATTTTGGTTATCCTGGCTGACCCCACGCTGCACAGTCCCATGTACTTCTTCCTCAGGAACTTGTCCTTTTTGGAGATTGGCTTCAACCTAGTGGTTGTGCCCAAAATGCTGGGAATGCTATTTGCCTGGTACACAACCATTTCTTCCTCTGGGTGTGCCACACAGATGTATTTCTTGCTCTTCTTTGGGGTTGCCAGTGCTTCCTCCTGGCCTCCATGGCATACGACCACTTTGTAACAATCTGCACTCCCTTGCACTACCCAGTCATCATGAACCAAAGGACACGTGCCAAACTGGCTGTTGCGTCCTGGTTTCCTGGCTTTCCTTTAGCTACTGTGCAGACCATATGGCTCTTCAGCTTTCCCTTCTGTGACACTAACAAGGTGAACCACTTCTTCTGTGACAGCCCACCTGTGCTGAGGCTGGTCTGTGGGGACACAACACTATTTGAGGTCTATGCAATCGTTGGGACCATTCTGATCATCATGATACCCTGCTTACTGATTCTGTGTTTGTATTTTTGCATTGCTGCTGCCATCCTCAAGGTTCCATCAGCTAAAGGGAAGCATAAAGCCTTTTCTACGTGCTCTTTTCCCCTCCTTGTTGTCTCCCTTTTCTACGTATCTTTAAGCCTCACCTACTTCCAGCCTAAGTCCAATAATTCTCCTGAGAGGAAGAAGCTGCTATCATTGTCCTACACTATTGTGACTCCCATGTTGAACCCCATCATCTACAGATTGAGAATTAATGAGGTGAGGAATGCTCTCAGCAGGACCTTCCACAAGGCCCTAGGTCTTAGAAGTTATATCTCATAGACATTAAGAGATAAGACTAAAGTTTATTGAATGGGGAACAATCCATTTTATATTTGGTATTCCACTCTACCTCTCTTCATATCTTTATTGGGATGAAATCCAGCTGTCAAAATGGCTGTTATAGAGGTCAGTAGATGGAAAACAGCACAGAGATACATTAGATCTATCACTACTACCTGGGAAATGCCTCTGCCTGCCCATTGTAGACTTACATTCTTTTGCTCATTGGTACTTCACTTCTGTGGCCAAGTAATACCAGATATTCACATTCCCATGTCTATATTGTGAACAGTGTGAAACTGCTTGTAATCTTAAACTTAGAGACACACATAGTTGAAGAAGGCAAAACCAATAAAAATTATGTGGTCCTTATCTCTTTCTTTGGGAAAATATGACTATTTACCAGATAGAAAACCCCATGACTTGTCACAATGCCTAATTTTCCTCATTGTCTTATTTTAGTTCTCATGCCCTTTAGGTAGTGTTAGTTCTTTTGAACGCAACTGGTATGTGGTATGGATATAGGAAAGTGGAACAATAATCCCCATACACACACCTTTGTAGCCCAAATAATCATTTTCTTCCTCACTCTAGTTTTACCAGGAAGAATGACTTGAGCTTCCATATTTACATTGTATGTCTTGAAGTGACATAAATTTTAATCATGATGCTGCTTTCATCAAAGCTTAAAATGGATACACACTGATTCAAACATAGCTCTTTAATGACACAAAATTTCTCATTCTTTTTATAACTTCATAATACTCTGCTTTGTAGATATGCCATAGTTATTTGAGTCTTTTATTATTACAAATCATACTGTTAAGAATAACTTTATGAAATATGCCTTTTTTATATTTTTGCCAGTACATCTGACAGATGGAAATTTAGAAATTATATTTGTTGGGTGAAGAGTAAATACATACATAATGTTGCTGTATATTGGCAAATTCCTTCTCAAAGTAATTTCACCATTTTACAATCCTACCAACTTATTTTCTAACAGCCCTGTCAATAATGGTCATGGTATTGTAGTTTCTATCTTCAGGTAATCATTATTTTACTAAATAATGGACCAAAGCACAAGAGTAGTAATACTGGCAATTTAGGTGTGCCAAATAGAAGCCATAAAGTGTATGTATGTGTATATATACATACATTAGTATATGTACTGTTTGTTACTACCCATGGTTTCCAGCATCCACTGGAGGTGTTGGTGTGTGTCCCCCATGGATATGAGGGAACTACTATAATTTAAACACAAAAATATTTAAATTCATATCCTAAGGATATTTATTATCAGAAGCAAAGTCAAACATGCACCTGTGAAATCAATATTTTTATATTTAATTCATCATTTTCAAGCTATCTTTATTCTTCATAATAGTCTCTGAATAACATATCATTATACAAAGCAGTGATAGTTCTTTTTCTTCATCTCCCACTTTTACAGGGGATCCCTTTGGGATTGCTGGGATATACATGCAGGCACCATGCTAGATACTAAGCAATGGATAATGAATGGATCAGATATGGTCATGTGCAATCAAATGTCCATTTCAGAACAACTGTAAGAAAATTTCAGATATGCATAAGAGTTTTTGTATGAAGTCCAGGTCAGTTGGGAGAAGTTTTATGTCAAGCATAGACTTTGTTTTACTCTCTCAACTTCAATTCCTGCTCCAGAAGGGTTAGGATTTCAAAACTGTTAGTCAGACTTTCTTCTCCTTATCTTAACCAGGAGTAAATAGCTTTCCCAACCAACAACACTCCCAACTAAGTGCCTACAGTTTTCATTAATATTCTCCACTTGGCTTAGATAATGATTAGTGTGTTCTCTTCTCCATGCCTGAAGACTTCTCTTGAGTCCAGGTCAGAAACACCCTGAGGACCAGCTCAATGAGAGGAGATGTAAAAGAATACTGACATGAAGGAAATGCAATCACTAATGCAGAGAGATCTCTTCACTGCCATGTTCATTGAATTGTTATTCATGGTAGCCAAGACATGGAAACAACCTAAGACTCCATTTGCATGTGAATGGATAAAGAAACTGAAAAAAACACGTATATACCCGGACACACAAGAATATTTATCAGCTATTAAAAAAGAAATTCTTCCATTTGTTACAATATGGTCCTTGAAAGCAGACAAAAAAATACTACATGATCTCACTTATAAGTGGAATCTGAAAAAAAAAAAACCAACCCACAAACCTTTAGAAAGAGTAGAGTGATGGTTGCCAGTGCCTGGGGAGATGTTGGCCAAAACATATAAACTCAGTTACAAGACAAGTAAGTTCTAGGATCTAATGTATAGCATTGTGACTATGGGTAATAAAGTCTACCTCTTAATTGTTTCTAAGACTAAAAACGTAATTATGTGAGACAATGGAGGTGTTAACTAACCCTATTGTGGTAAACACTTTGTATATATACAAGTATCAAATCATTACTTTGTACACTTTAAATGTATACAATGTTATGTTAACTATATCTTAATAAAACTGGGACAATAAAACATAAGTTAAAAAAGAATACTGGCATGCTCATCTAATCATTTCCATGTAGAAACCTTGGAGGAGGGACCATGGAGTTTTATCCCTTTGCTCTCTAACCTCACAAGTGTAGGAAAAATTAGAGCTGCAGTAGACCTTCCTCCAATGATGCATAATCTTCATGAATTCTTGCACTCGTGGGAACTCCTCAAAACTCACACCTGTCAGAAGATGAACCCATGACTTCACCTGAGAAAGAAGAAGCATTGGGGAGTCACTTTCTTACAGTAAACACCAGAGACCAAAATAGTCCTGAGACTCAGCCTGGAATCCTCTAGAGTGACTGACACGGGCCCATCCCAAAGCTGCTCTGCTGAGCTCAGAGCATCTTTACAAGGACTGGCCCCACCCACAGCTCAGGATTGACCTGGGATGTCTGACACAACCCAAAACAAAGCTTTCTTGAGACTGTGACAAGGCACAACCTCACAGTTCACCAGAAATGTGAACCACGACAAGCACAACCAAGAGTTTCTTTGGAATGACTGGTGTAAACACAGTCCAGAGCTTTTCTGACATGACTTGTCCAGACACAGCCATAATTTAGGAATTCCCTTGGAGTTCCATCATTGGGACATAGACTGATCCAGAGTAACTGGCACAAACCAAGACTTCTCTGGAATGTGATACAGACAAGTCTCACTGACCAGAGGTAAGTAAAGGGTGAGAGGATAGGGGACAGGCTTAAAATCTCTTGTAAAGATGATAATAGCTCATGACCAAAAAATGTGTCTTCTTTAACATATTTTTAAGTAACAAGACAAAAATCAGAGGTCTCAAATAAAGAGCATAGAGTTTTATAGGATTTGACAAAATAGAAAACCTGGGAATGACTAGAAAACAATGATAATATATGTATCGTGCTTTGTAATGCTCAAAGTTTTTGCACAAATACTATCTCATCTTACATCCAGGTCCACTCTGTCAGGTGGGTACAGCATTTTTAATAATCATCGTTTTATAGTTGAGAAAATCGTAATTCAAAACATCATGCTGTCAGCTCTGTGTCTCACGGCTAAAAATAATAGTAACCAGAATTGTAACTCTGAATTTATGACTCCAAAGTACTTTCCATCATAACTGTATGCTCTCAAACTATCATTTGCATGGCAGTTTTACAGAGTTCTCTCAAGTATGTTGTCTAGTTCTTCCTTGTTGAAACAAAATAGTGAATCTCCAAAGTGTTATCCCTGACAGGAGACACTCTAGATAGAGGTGTAGTTGGCCAGGCAACCTCAACTGTTTCCCCATAACTTCTCCCTGCAGGGTTCTCACTCCCTCTCTCTCATGACTGCAAATCACACCCACACTTATCCATTGTTCTGTGCTTGCCAAACCAGCAGTAAAGCGATACCTGGATTATATACTGCACCAATAACAACCTTAACCATAACTATGCTCATGTGGTTACAGGGAGTCAGTTCAAAGTCTTCCCAGAAACTTCCCCCCCTACCATCCCTCCTGTACTTAGTAGGGGAAAACAGATAGGAAAAAAAAAACAAGAAAAGAAAGGTGAAAATGTACAAGAAAAGGAGAGGGAAAGCTAGATCAAATGAAGGAAATATAAAGGGAAGGGTTAGGGAAGGATCGAGTCAAATGAAGGAAAATATGGAATTACAGCTATTGAAAGGAGGCAGCTGCAAAGTCACAAATCATGCTTTCTATTGTGTTTTGTGTAGCCCTAAGGTCCCAAGATGAATGAAAGGCCATTTCAAGAGATAGGAGAAAAGGAAAAGCCAAGCAAGTGGGGCTCTGAGCCCCTGACCTTGTTTATCTTCATTGGATGTAAGTACTGAAATTCCCTGTAAGATTTAGATTGAAAAAAAAAGGGGAAGGAGGTACCTCTGCTTTGAAAGTCAAAAGTTCATTGTTAAGCATATGCAAGTTCCCTCAACTTCATTAACTGGACTTTTGTCACATGCTGTCTAGTGTCTGAGTAGTGGCATCTGGCTGTGTGCCACTAGAAAATTCTCAAACTGTGCTGCACCACAATTTTCCTTCAGTTCCAACAGTCATGCATCTTGGCCACACTTCATTAGATTTTCTATCTGCTCAACACTGCTTGATTATAAAGCTTGATTTAGAGCTTACTTTAACTATAGAAATTATAGTTATATCAATAATAATAATGATGACAATAATCCAAATTTGTACAGTTTTATAATTCTACATGTATTTCCATCTCTTTCACAAGGCAATAATTAAAAACATTGTTTAAAGCATTCTTTTACAAGCACTTAAAAATAACAGTGATTACTTTAATCCATTATGGATTTATGACAAAGAACTTCATTAACATTTGAAGATATTAGTATGTTAGGCCCATTTACTAATGTCATTAATATAAATGTTAATCAGTAATTCAACAAACACCTATTGTTACCATGTAGGTACCAGACAATGTAATGTGGATAGAATGATGGATACTATTTGGCTTATTTCT